CAACAATTCATGATACCAAAGTCACTAACAAAATCGTGTTAGTAATTGCAAATGTTACGGTATTATTTCGGGGACCGTATATAGCTTGTATTTGCTATATCAACTTCAACAAGATTACGTACCCAAGCAAGTCAGCACTGATTTTCTTAGATTTCTTTCTGTCTGATTTTCCGATGTTGTAGTAAGATTCAGCACTTAATTTGAGGGTCGAGTTGCTGACTACGACAGGAACTGAAGTTTTGTAAGTCAACTCTTCTACAAATATAATTTTAAAACATTTTATATACATAAGAGAATAGACAATCCCCACAGATTTTGCATTACTAAGATGTAAATCCCAAATGAAGTGTATAAGCATTTTTGTATTTAGCCTACCAAATTATGGCCAGTCATTATCTTAATAACCCATTATCTTTTGTTTACACCAAGTATTGATAGCTACACTGATCACTTAACAATTAACTAAACATGTATATGTAAGAGAATGATAATCCCTTTCTTCATGATTAAGTACGAGCGTTAGCGAGTACTTATCATAAAGAAAGGAAATATGTTTCTCTTACAAACTTAGAATATTGTAAAGTGCTTAAGGCTCAAATGATTTCTTGATTGGTTGTATTCACGAATTCGTTTCATTGTCAGTGCAAGTTTATGATTAATGCATGACTTCCTTTTTAGGCATTTCATTTCATTTATGGATTAGCTTTAGTGATGTAAGGACTTTCTTATAATTTTGAAAATGATAATAAACTGTGTTTTAGACTTTTGGAGTTTCGTGTGACGTCCATTTTCACTGAACTAGTATACATTATTGTTTAGGGGCCAGCTGAAGCCCGATTCCGGGTGCGGGATTTTCTCGTTGTTTTGAAGTCCCGTTGGTGGCATTGTGGTGTTTTCTGCTTTTTTGGTCGATTTTTCAATCACAAATCCTTTCAAGCTGATAAATGTAACTTGTAACTCATTTATAGTACCCGGTAACTCTTTGTTTTGAACTGTAAATAAGCCTAAACAATAGGATTATTCCATACTAAGAATATGATTTACATTCATTTTTCACAATTAGGAAATACTAAATCCTACAATTTCATTGGTCAAGAGCACTTTGCTATATTCTAAATATTATTAGACCGCAAAGAAATGTATCATCCGGAATGTAACTGTAATATAATTGACTAAGATTACTAATGAAGGAAATTATTTTACTTATACGATACATATAAGGTTCGAAAAAGAAGTGAATGATTTATGTCTTAATATAACAAAAGTTTGATTTACATATATCAGATAAACATATTCCACGGGAAAATTCGACACTCGCAATCCAGAGGTTGAAGGAACTAGACATATGAGAGTGGTAACACATGTATCAAGTGACTTGGTGTTTTGATTATATGAACTTAGTAATCATAAACTAAATACAAAAAAAGTCCTTATTTACAAATTAAAAACTTAAGCAGAGCTTGATTTACTGCAGTGACGCTGTGTAATAATTGGGGAAACAGATATTTCTTCATTTTTTTCTCAAATAAAGTATAATATAACTGGATGAACCGGACAAAACTGATCAAATTGGAAACTTGTTTTGATTATAAAAGTATGGTAATGTAAATGCTGTAAAATAGGAAAAAAAAGATACTGATTATCACTGTCAATGATGTTTTCTAGTCTGTTGTATATTTGATCCTGTCAGCATTTCTGTATAACTGTAAGATCAGGTCATATTCTAAAAACCCGAAAACACTAAAGACAAGGAAAACATTGTAATCTATCAAAAGGAAGTCTGTTTTGTCGTATATTTTTTGTTTCAATTTTGTTACTTTGTACCAATACAGTTTGTTTTCTTAGAAAAATATATTTCTTAGAAAAAAACCCAACCTTTGCAATCATTATTAACTTTCTTTAGCTGATATATTGTGTTGGTCAAATGCATTTAGCAATGATCAAACCGTAAAATATGATCGCGGAATAACATTACTTTTATAATTTCTTAATTTCAACGGCAAATTAATGAAAGGTATGTTACTGACTACTGACTACTTAGCTCAATCAACTATTTTAAGATACCAAAATTAAAATTTTGTACGTCAGACGCGCGCCTCGTCTGGAAAAGACTCGTCAGTGACGCTTGAATCAAAAAAGGGAGAAAAGACTTACAAAGCACGAACCTGAAAAGCACTGAGGACCCAAAATTTCAAACAGTTTTGCCAAATTATTGTTAAAAAAATTAGCTTATTTTTCATTAAGAGCTAGCAGTCCACCACCAAAGACTTATACACAGCGATAGAAAATGAAATATTACTTTAAAAATTTGTTGCCTTCTATACCTTTTTCAAGAACGCTCAACTCCAGATATGTGTTAAACAAGGATGCATAGGTACTAAAGTACTTACGGATGGGACGGAGAAGTAGAGTTGGGTCCACCTACGGTCAATTATGCTAGGTTTCACTCTCCACTTTTTTCAGAAATTGCCTGTACCAAGTCAGACATATGATAGTTATTTTTCACAGTTTTGTTTGGTTTTTGTCAGTTGTTATGGACTTCCCCTTTTGAATTTACTTTGGAGTTCGGTATTTGTGTTATATATTTTTGCGTACGGATTTGAAACCTTAGTTTCTTGATAATAAGTTAACTTTATGAATGAGTTTATAGTTCATGTGGGTGCCGCGCTGACTACTGAGCTAAAGGTACGCGTCGAGGCCTAGCAGTCAAGCAGCAGGATAAGACTGTACAATTGTTAACCGTTTGCCTTATAATAATCGAATACAATAATTAAAGGTTTTGTATTTCAAATTCATTGTCTAGCCGCTTCGTATACAAATAAAGGCAACAGTAGTATACCGCTGTATACAAAATTTTTATCTTCGTTTCTTTTGCTATCAAATTAGTGTTCTTTTATGTTTCTCTGTAACATAAATTATTTCAAAAAGTATCTTACTTGAAACCATGGCTTTTTCTTCCCAGCAAAATGTGTATTCATCTGCACGACCTGAATCGCTGAAAATCGTTGCTTCATTGCGAGTTGTTTTTTCAAGGTCAAACTTGAAATCCACTTTTACAGGAAAGGATGGTTTCTGTAATGATACAGATGGTCTATTGTATTGGCAAAAAGAAACATTTTGAAATTCTGCATTCAAAAATTTACACAAATCATCTTCAAGTTGTAGGAGATGTTTGTTTGACATAGTTAGAGATAGAAATTCAACAATTTAATTTACCAAATACACTTACGTCTAAAGGTTGATGAACAAAACTCATCAAAGATATCAGACATATGATAGTGTACGCCAGATGCCAATGTCGACTACATAGTGGTCAACCGGATCAGTCAGATAACAATCAGAAGGTCAGTTAGCATCTAATGTTTCTACGTATTCATACATCACGTGTTGCTCAGTCTTTTGTTTTCTATGTTGTTTTGTGTACTGTAGTTTGTCTGTTTGTCTTTTTCTTTTTAGCTATTGGGTTGTCAATTTATTTTTTACTTATGAGTATGGTATCCATCGCCTCTCTTTCACAGGTTTTTAAATGTTAACGTTTGATCTTTCGTGATAATGGTAAATCAAGAAAAGCGTTACGGACGCAAGAAATTTATCAAGTGTATATTTTGTATCATCTAAGTCGATCGAAACATTGACATGATTAAGATATGGCCAAATATCTGAAATACTAACCGAGGTGTAAAGAGAAACATCATGCATAATACAACAAAAACGTCTGATGAACTAACAAGCTAGATGCCCCCACTTACAGGTTTATGTTGGATCCATTGTTGAACATTACCATATACTATTTTATTTTGTATCATTTATAAATAATTAAAATTGTGTTGTTCTTAATGCAAAAATCATTAGTAGTAGTGTACTTTATGAAGACGGGTTGTCATTTTTATGTTCTATTCGTGATTCTATCGTATGGTCTGATAGTAAGTACAGTATTTGAGTACAATCAAATGATCATAGAAATAAATTTTAATCAAAACATACAGTTTGCAGTGCTCTTAGTGAGGAAAACTTGTCATTTTCAAATTTTCCATATCCAGGTGACATTATTTCAAAGTCAGAATGCCTATGTTCTCCTCGCAGAAAAAGTGTCTGTTTTCCAGCGTATTCTACATGTTCATATCCAACCCATCTATTGAATAAGAATATTATTTGTATAAATCCAAACGAACAACCTTTCCCTGTTTATTTTCTAAAAATTGATTTTATGATTTAGTCATAGCACGCATTACTTAGTAACACATATGTTCTGTAAAAAATAAATGAAAATATAACTACATCAAATTAAAAGGAAGAAAAAAACCGACGCTACAAAATGCTGACTAAGAACAAGAATATAAGATATGAGAAAGGGTAACACAATGGTATATGCCATTCTTCCTCTTAGTAGCAAACAGAAGTGAAGTTTTATAATACCTATTGATGGCTACATAACTTATAATTCAAATTTGTGACAAATGTAATACTTTTAATAGGTAACAAACGGATTTCGAAAAAGACAGCTGACCTAGTAAAAGATATTAACTGAAAACAGCAATTTTGATCTCACTGTTCAGTATTTTTGATAATGTATAAACGAAAGACGTATGATTTTGAGTTTTGGAATGTTTTAACAGTGCCTGAACTGTGTATTTTTGTATTTTAAAAGTAAGTGCATATAATTTGTTCTTGAAATAACATCTCTAACCTAATCGTCTTACAATTTTTGTCTCTGATCTTTATGATGAAATTTTTGAGAATAATCTCTAAAGTTTGTCGAATCTGTGTTTTAATATAAAGGATCAGAGTCGTCGACTTTTACTAAGAATTGTTCTCAATCCTTTTTTAGATGCGATTTTAAACTTGAATTCATGTCTATACTTTTGCTCTGCGCTAAATGCTTTTTAGTGATTATAAGATCATGGTATCTTATACCTTGTTTCAACAAGAATTTTTTTCAAATGCCACAAGCGTATGTGGATAAAGCATTATCTTCGATTTAACGTTTATAACATACGTACGCTCCACTGTGTACTATAATAGATGACACTATATCGTTCATGTTTTTATGTCGCAGATCTGGAGTGTTTGCTTTCAACTCTAATGACTTGCCGACGAAATGATGTTCGTAAATCGTACACTTGGGTTCTTCAGAGAAATCCTGAAATTAATTTAATTGAAAAGTCAGGATATTCAAGCTTCTTAACATTCGAACACGAGGACTACAATGTACCTGTAAACTGAATAACGTGCCTCACTGTTTTATTCATAATAATTCTGCAGACGCTTACGGATATGAAGTTTTAACTTATCAACGGATTTGTACTCGCCATGATCAAAATGACAGATGTCACTAATTGATCAGAATTTGCTTATCTCTCTAGGGCACATCAGATCGTTTCCAGTGTTGGATGGGGTTCGTGGTGCTCCGTATGAAGTTTTTATTTTTATTGATATCGTTTTGTTTTTTGCCATGGTGATGTCGGTTTCCATTCGATTGTGGGTTTTCAATGTCCATTTTCTTTCCTCAGTCCTTTTTTAAAGAATCAAACTTTACCTGAATTTAAAAAAAAAATTAAATGGAAAATATTGGGAATACATCTTCTGAATTGGTATATGCAGAACTTGCAAATTAAACAGACAAAAGTATATGTAGTTAAGTATAAGAGTCATTGAATCGTAATATATGACAGGTGCTTCCTGTGAAAGAAGTATTTCTATGATTCTTTTTGATAATCAGTACAAATATTTAACAAATCGTATTTTCTTTGATGAAAAAAAAACAATTGGTAGACGTTATTCGAAGTACAATTATTAGAAAGACATAGATTTATTTGCTTTACGAGTATTCAGATTTTTATTGATTTTTCTCTTTAGAACTGCTTGTCTAAGGAAGAAATTTGACTCCAATTTCAGAAAAAGGTACGGTTTATTTGTTTTGATTGACATTTATCAAGCTGGTGAGTCCGAAACGCTTTCAGCAGTAACTTTTATCACGCCCTTATAAAAACAAAGATTTACAAAATATAGCATTGTCACACTATGTGAATTACGTTGATGAAGTTTTCATGTTGAATTTCGACGATTATAAAAATCAAATATCATGATTTATAGTTGTCCTAATGGATAGTATACGCACGTATTCTAATGGCTTTATTGCGAATTTAGAGCTTTTGAAGTCATGAAACTTCTCGTTTTTATTGTACTGCACAAAGTTTATCCTGTCTCCTTCCATCATTACACAAATGTCCCCTGGAAACTTTTCTGTAGGTTCCAATACCCATCTCAAATGAATCAATCGTATGCTAGAATCAACTGACGTTGAATAAATCGTAAATTGACGTTTGATAAATTTCACAATTTACATTAACAACATGTTACAATTCACATAAGAGAGAGAGACAGAGATAGTTTCAGTGCATTGTAAAATTTATTGTAGATGAGTAGCTTATTTTCCAAAATACTTTTCTATGGTTATTTACTTTGTGTAAAGTCTTTAATTTATCGTATACAGTTTTTTCAGGCTTTAATGGGGATAGTTCATGAACAGGTTGTACTGAATAATTCTAGTTTCCAATAATTCATTGTAAGATGTACAAATACTGTAAGCTGCGAAAAACAAACTTACACTCCACTTTCTACAATTACACTTGATGCAACTTTCAAGGCTTCCTGCTTCTTTGTGTATGTTTCAGATACTCCCATAAAATCTGGTTGATCATATAAGGTGATCTACAAAAGCAAGTATCAAGACCGTCTTAACAAAATGGTAATTTGATGCAAATCATTCACTTCATAGATTTTAAGTGCAGCTAAGCATAGCAAATGTGAAATAAAATAAATAATGCATTCTGATATAAGTTCAAATCTAATATAAGAGTTTAGTTCCAGGTAAGTTTAATCAATGCGCGAGCAGAAAAATTCACATTTTTATTGCAGGCACAAGTTATTCAAATCAATTTGGACGAAAAGGAAAATACAGTGACACTATTTAGTATTTGATACAATAAGGATAGTTTCATAGAATAAGGGACCACAGGTCTTGAAAAGTCTAATGGCGGCATTCGCTTGTCAGAGTTTCATTCCTTAGCAAATATATTTTTCTAATGCATACCATGATTATCTAAGCAATAACATTATGGTATCCTGTAATGATAATTTCACTTCAAAGTAAAATACGGTAAAAAGAGGCAAACCAAGCCGACAAACAATATGTGTTTTACTGTAAACATTGATTTGTTCACTTGCACAGATAATGCATCAAATAAAATTAGGAAACGTTTAATCATGTATGACTGCCACTTGACTGCTTTCATTTTTTAGACTGCTTATGTACGATAGACTATAAGCAATGAGACAGCAACCAAACGACAATATATTACCTGCCATATCACATAATTCCTAAAAAGGATAAAACGATTTCGACAACCATTTAACAGGTTCATGATTTTAAGACTAATATGTATTAGCAGCTAAACATAATTAATTATTCAAATTATGGATGAACTGTTCAGTTTCAGTTTTCCAAATACTAAGCATCAAAATACCATGAAGGTACTCTAGCAGAATATTCTGATTGGTAGTATTTTGAAGTAAAATAGATGAAATATCATAAGGAGTAGATTTGATTTTCTTTTTATAAAAACAAGTTTATATTCAACATAAATCCATAAATTACTATAATAATAAAGTTTGTAATAAATAAAAAAATAACAATAATAATATTAATAATAAAGATAACAATAATAAAAGATAATGATAATAATGATAGTGATAATTATGACATTATCATTGTTAATTAAGCAATTCAGTTAAAGAAAAAAGAAAAAGATCTGCTTACCATTGGCAGCTTGGGTTTCTGAATAAAAAGTGTATAAATACAGTGACGAATATGTTAGATACATATAAATATTAAACATAATTTCGGACGAAACAAAATAATGAACTAATAGATTGTGAACTTCATATATCAAATCAAAACCATGTCAATGGCAATGCGGAATGGTGTGGTTTGTTTACTTTTTTCACCTTTATATATATTTATATTGGTGAAGATAAACTTTTGAGATACCTAAGGTATTTCCCTAATTTTAGAGAAGAGTATTTCAATGGTCGGTAGAATCTTTCATTCTGTAATCGACCAACTTAGTATACAACATGTTCAAGTACATGCAGGTGTAATGTCAAACCATGCAGGATACTGGGAAACCATATTGGTATACTATACAAATAGCGTTTCTTGGTATCCTACTTTTTTTCGAGCAAACGGTTTCATTGACATTACTGTGTAAGTTACAGTATATTCTTACAATCTCTGTTCAGGTCATCTTTAAGAAACGTTGATCACTTCAACGACTGCAATTTAAAATACTGAACATTTGAGCTTCAATTTTCGATTGCTTCGCAAAAACAATAAACATACGTTTTTGGAGAGTATATTTTAATCCTGGTATTTATAATGAATTTATTAGAACTTGCTACGAGCAGGAGAAAAGATCGGCGAACCGCGCTTTTCTTTCAATTTCCATTGCTCGTACTTATAAAGTAAAATGTTTTCCTAAAAATGTACGTATATTGTAATATACAATGGTATGACGAGACGGGATATAAAATATTTTTTCTTAGATAATCAATTCAAATTCAAAAGAAATATTTCAAACAATTGTTTTCTTTATATGACATAATACAAATTGTACTATATTCAATCGTGTGATCGTTTTTTAGGTAGGATGGTGGTGCTGTATCTAATGATTATAACAAATAACTTAAAACAAAAACATACAATTTGTACGGCTTTAAGTGAAACAAATTTGTCGTTTGTAAACTTTCCATATCCGGGATTTTTTTGCTGAAAGGTAGAAGCCTCATGGTCTCCTCGTAGAAACAGTGTCTGTTTACCCTTGAAATCAGCTCCTTCATAGCTAACCCACCTGTTAAATACATATTGAAATTGTAAATTGACGAACGTAAAACCTTTCTACGCTTTTTCAAAACAAATACAAGAAATATTGATTTCAGAATTTAGTTCTCCTATCAATGACTAACTCACCATAAGGATTTGTACTGTGTTATGCCTCTTTACTGGATTAAACATTTGAGCTCTTTTTGGGGCTGTGTTTATGCAATACATGTGATTGATTTTAAAGCTTGTATTTTCTTTTGTGTTTTATCTACGAATATTATATTATGAATAATTGTCAAATTCAAATAAACATCATCAAGGTCTAGAAATACAAAACCCCAAAATCCGGCGGAAAAAACATGATGGTGCAGGTCCATCGAATGATAAACAATACAAATCACACTAGACTCCCCTGATCAGAACTCGATAAAACACTTTTGAATTAAAACATTTGTTGTTTTTTATACCTTTAAAGAGGCTTTACAGGAAATGTACATTTCGCATGCTCTTCAATTCACGTGAAATTACTAGCAGACAATAAATCAACAATGGTGAATTGAAGTTGAAAAGATCGCTCTTGGAATCAAGTGTTAAATAAATCTGTCAGTAAATATGTAGTAGTTAAAAATAACATGGATCACTTATAAAATCTTTCAGAATTCAAATGATGTGGTTCCTATTGTAATATTCAATCCAGGGCATTCGTAACATCATTTTTTGTCCCACTCGAGCCCCTTCAGATTTATCACATGACCGCCGCCATTGTTATGTAAACAATATATTTTGGGTAAAATTGCTTGTCCCTTTATGTGAATTCTGGTTTGTGTGTTACACGTGTCAAAATGAAATAAAGCATACATTGAAATCAAAAGATTAGAAAAATATATATATATAATTGAAATTAATTGATATTAAATCAGAAAGAATTCGTCAATTTGACATACGCTTAATAAATCGTTAACATAGTAGGAAGATACCAAGAGACCAAAAACTTCAAACCACTCGCCAAGTCTCTTCTTAAAGATTGCATGCTTAGTCTTTAGTTTTCTATGTTGTGTCATCTGTACTATTATTTGTCTGTTTGTCTTTTTATTTTTGACCATGGCGTTGTCAGTTTGTTTTCGATCTGTGAGTTTGACTGTCCCTCTGGTATCTTTCGTCCCTCTTTTAAAAGTTTCAAATAAAGGCAACAGTAGTATACCGCTATTCGAAATTTATAAATCGATTGAGAAAAAAACAAATCCGCGTTACAAACTAAAACTGAGGGAAACACATCAAATATAAGAGGAAAACAACGACACAACAGAAACACAACACTAAAATGCAACACACACAGAAACGAACTATAATATAACAATGGCCATTTTCCTGACTTGGTACAGGACATCTTAAGAAAAAATGGTGGGTTGAACCTGGTTTTGTGGCTAGCCAAACCTCCCGCTTTTATGGCAATGTTAAATATAACATTAAAATGACAAGATTATATGACAGGACTACATTACAAATAAATGGGAGAACATACAGGACAGAGACACACACACATAATAGCTATCAAAAGGTACCAGGCTTATAATTTAATACGCCAGACGCGCGTTTCGTCTACATAAGACCCATCAGTGACGCTCAGATCAAAAACGTTCGAAAGTCAAAACAAGTACAAAGTTGAAGAGCATTGAGAACCAAAAGTTCCAAAAAGTTGGGTTATATGCCTGGGATAAGAAAATCCTTAGTATTTAGAATAATCCATACTTTTGCAAACAGTAAATTTATAAAAATGACTATATAAAAGATATACATGTTAACACCGAAGTGGTGACTAACTACAGAATAAAAACGAATACGTTTAAACAACCTAAATCAGCACATAAAAAAGGCACAGCCGAACAACGTATTATATGTTAGCCGAAGTGTTACGTCACATATAAATTTCTATAAATTTCCAAATAATAGGATAGAGTTCAAGATTAGGTTTGTAATACTAATATAACATGTATTAATACCAATGAAAATTACAATACTTATTAATATACCATTGTGGTAGTAAATAGATAATTAATTGTATTATCAAGCTATGTCGGTATTTCTTCTAAATCAAACTGTAAACCAAATACATCGTATAAATTTAGTTGACCAAACTAAAATCTTATAAATGAACTAGGTTATTAATTATCTTTACCGTAACACACGAATAGAACAGAAAAAAATAAGATTTACAACTACAAACGATAATACATTTGACAAAATCCGATGAGAATAACAAATATAACATCAAAACTAAATACATGGATTTTGGATAGAAAAATACCGTGACACGTCCTATAGCAATGCGAATTCACACTCAGCAAAACAGTCACAATCGGGAATAAGTCACGTTCGGTACTTAAAAGATCAGACGACGTAATGGCAAACCACAATCTAACACGTTGTAAAAATGTCCTTTGTTAGTTTGGACAAAGACACATCGTATGAATCAACCAATTCGTGATGGTGTCCATAAAATTTACGGAGTGTCATTTTTAATCTGTCCTCCTCATAACTTTGTTGGAGCAGTTTCTGCGTTAGGAGCACACTCCTGTATATGAAGAATATATGTATATGAAATAGACGGACATCCCGTATTCAACTTTACATGACCACTTGCGTGGATGTTATGTTGGTAGAGATACACCCTCTTCTTTTGGACCTACAGACCTACAAATGAACTTACCGTTTCCGAAGAAGAAAGATTGATACATTATATTGAGTATATGGTAGTTCGTGGTCTTCCCTTATCTCGCCATCACTTGAAATAATTTGTTTGAAAACGCTCTTCAATCTTGAAAATGGGCAGTCAGATAAATGGATATCCTCCAGAATAATGTAGGGCTAAGATATCTCAAAATCAAATCGACCAATACAACGAACTGCTTGAGAGTGCCTTGAAGATATTAGATCTTAAGAATGACCCGACCCAAATATATAACTGTGATGAATCAGGATTTTCAGGTCGCCTAAATAGTACTAAGAACTGATGAGCCGTGGTATTGCAATGTTTGTGTACAGTCTGATGAATAATGAACTATGAACTTTTTTTACGAAACAAAAAACAGTTTTCCAAACATTACACATCATGATAAATTTTAGAATCTCTCTATTTCTGTGAATAAATTACCGTTTCAGTAAAATTTCAATTCCAATTATCAGTAAAATGTTTATTTTATTAGTTAGACATCATACGTTTTTACTCTGAGGTTTTTATAACATTATCGAGAACTGGTCAAGTTGTATTCGAATTTGGCATAATTTTAGCATGTGAAACAAACATGCCCCAAGGTGACGTCATAATAAGAATTGCACGACCAATCAGGTCATTTTGTTTCAAATAAGGTCAACTTTGATAAAACAAAAGGTCAGGAATTAGTTTGCAAGATTATGTCGGTAAACAGTAAAAAGCAGTGCTAAATTATCGAGCACTGGTCAGGAGAGTCTAGTGGAACATGTCATGATACTTATAACCATTACAAATTCGATAATATGTCGCACATGTTGGTGTCTTAAGGACATGATTTTGTCAGACAAGCGGAACATATACCTGATCCCACGTGACGAAGATATCATATAACGGTTATCCTTCTGAAATAAAGATGCTTTATTTATATTTTATATATCTTTATACATATCATAATGTAAAAAGGCTTTAAAGATTCAAGGCTTATAATTTGGAACACCAGACGCGCGTTTCGTCTACATACGAATCATCAGTGTTGCTCAATTCAAAACAATTGGACAGCCAAACCACATACAAACTGAGCATTATACCAATGGCTAAGGCATTCTATAAAACTTTCGAAGATATAAAAGAATTAACACTGTTCCACATTTATAACAAAGATTTAATTGTAGTGTATAATCCTTATGAGTCTTATAGTACTTTTGATATCCTTTTTGCATAACTAAGTCAATAAAAATATCATCAAAGATGCGCATTTCGTCTTCATGAGACCAAGTCCGAAGGCCAAATCCCACACGAATCCAAACAGCATAACAAAAACTGAACATTTCGAAAAATTCTGTCAAATACGGCCAAGCAACATATGCCTGGTGAAGAATACCTTTGTGTTTTGAATAATTCAACATTTTTTAAACAATATATTGACAAACAATAAATATATGTCAATGACATTTCATGTCAACATAAAACCTCTGACTCCTAAACTTGTGACACCCACGAGGTCGAAACGACGACAATCAGTGCCATCTATCCAGTGGTTGTAAACTCTAACCAAAGATAACATGATTATAATTTAGAATTCCATGCGTTTGTCATACAAGTGAGCGGTTTACCTAGCTATAAAACCAAGTTTAACCCTCCATTTTCTACATAAGGAAATGTCTGTATCAAGGCAGGAATATGACAGTTGTGTCTATTCGTTTGATGTGTTTGAGAGGCGAAAGATAGCAGAGGGACATTCAAACTCATAAGTCGAAAATAAATTGACAACACCATGGCAAAAAAGAAAAAGACCAAGAGACAAACAACAGTACACAAATAACAAAACAGAAAACTAAAGACACGAACTCCACCAAAAACTGTGGCTGATCTAAGGTGCTCCGGAAGGGTTAGCCGATTCTGCTCCACATGTGACACCCGTTCATGTTAGTACAAACACGGTGATAAGTCTAATTCGGTAGATCATATTCGGGGAAAAGGGAACGATAATGTAGTTACGACAATTGGAACATATCCGCCATCATCTGTGAAACGTATATTCCTAAACGGTCAACCAACTCGCGATGGCGTCCGTAAAATTTACGAAGGGATGATTTCAACCTCACCACTTGGAACTCTTGGTTTAATAGCTTCCTTGTGAGCAGCAACCCTCTATCAAGGAAATCATGATAGGAAATACAAGCCCTGGAATATCGTTTCAACTGGGAGATATATATTCCGTATGCAGGAGCTGCTGGAATGTTGCTACACAGAAATGGAAAATTGACACAATTCGGAAGATGAAATCATCTCTTTTGTCGTCAAGGTTGGTTTTCAAACGACCCTCATTGTCCATGTCTAGATGAAAGTCTAGAAATGAGGCAGACTCAACTGTATCTGTTGTATCCTTTATCTCAAATTCGATGGGATAGATGCGTGCAACATTGTTACCAAATTTTGAATTGAGAGAACATCATCTTTATAGCGGAAAGTAAAGTTAAAGGATACTGCTACTTCTTTTCTTTTTCCGAAGAAGTTCCTGTTTGAAATCAGCTTTATATGAATAAAGGAACAAGTCAGCAAGAAGAGGAGCACAGTTGGTTCCGATGGGAATGCCGATTATTTGTTGAAAAACACGTCATCCAAACGTAACAAATATGTTGTCAATCAAGAAATGAGGCATCTTGACAATGTCAATTTCAGAGAATTATTTGTTTAAATCAGAGTGATTTTTTACAAAGTATGATTTATCCCTCTAAATATTGAGCTTTTAATTTTGCCATTTGATTAAGAACTTTCCATTTTGAATTTTCCTTAGAGTTCGGTATTTTTTGTTATTTTACTTTTTGGTACGGAAGAGTTTATGTATGGGCTAGACAAACTTAGTATTCGAATAAATCATCATTTTATAACAATCGAATTACTGAAATAAAACGTATCAAAGATATCTAATGTCAAAACAAGAGTGTACATTTGAAATTGATTTTACAGGATAGAGTGCTTGCCTTAACTGTGTACGGTCGTTGATTCGAATGTCCAAACACATACAAATTGGTATTTGATGCTTCTCCAATAAGCAAACTTAAGCGGATATTAGTAATCCGAGCAAATGCTAGTCGGCTCGGAGTCAGGATGATGTACCATTGTAATAGCAACTTTTGAATAGTAACGTTTGAAAAGCCTCAGTGCACTTTTGTGTTTATTAAAATTAATATTTACTTCATTCCAGGTATTTTCATAATCCCGTATTATATCTGGGCAATTAACGTATACTATGTGTTACTTTGTTAGTATAGATGATTGTAGTAAATGTGAATCAGGCAAACTTTTACAGTATTTGTTAGATTTAATTGTCCGTTATAATCTATATTTAATTTTTATTAATACATGCATCTTAGTTTCTGCATTATTTCACGCATGCGAGAGAGTTTGTGTCTGGAATTGATACATTTTATTCCTCTTTTCAATATCAAATTAACCTATAGCATTTGTGTAACTATTTATTTGCAATTAACAAGCACTTTTTTTTCAATTCCGTAAGCATATGTGGAATAAATCCTTATCTACAAATAAAAGTATAGAACCAACTTACGCTCCACTGTGTACCCTTATAGAAGATACGTCTGTCATATGTTTTTTCTCCAAGTTTTGAACCTCCTCTGTCAATGTGTGATCTTCGCCTACGTCTAAATCATGTTCAAAGATCGTACACTTTGGATCCTCCGTGAAATCCTGCAAAGATATTAACTTGGATTTTATTCCATTTAAGAGAGATGTTAAAACGATATTTCATTATCCAAAATTTTCGAAACATATGAACAAATACACCACACGTGTTTTGCATAATATACCATACTTTATTTCGGGGTTCGTGTTGCTCAGTATTTAATTTTCAATGTTGTGTTTTGTGTACTGTTGTGTGTCTGTTAGTCATTTTCTTTTCTAGCCATGACGATGTCAGCTTATTTTCGATTTATTAGTTTGAATGTCCTTTTGGTATCTTTCGCCTCTCTTTTTTTTTATTTGCTTGTTTCAATTTTGCAGACACCGGCGACTTGAAGGGCAGATGTTCCAATAATCAAATTTATGACAACAACAGGTATGAAATTATGACAGAAATAACTGTACTGCATCATTACAAATAAACAAAGGCTTGTTCTTACACGATGACGAAGATATGTTGAATTTGTGAATGAATTCAGAAATTGTATAACAAATCGTGCAAAACAAATAAATGCATAAACCTTTCGAAGGAATGACTTTTAAATAACAAATTGGAACCATTTGTTATATTTTTAAATGCAGAATCTATGTATATTGTATCCTTTTGTGTTTACAAAAAAAAATCATTTTTTTAATAATTTGTAGTCTTCCTAATTACTATTTTACGTACATATTTCAAAGGTTTTATCGAGGAATATTTGAAGTCAGTCAACTTGTCCCCTTCCATTACTACGTTGATATCACCTTCATAGTTGACGTGATCGTACAATATCCATCTGAAATTAAACAAACATACTTTTTACGAGCCGATGTTATGTGACGCTGGATATTTTTATAAACTTAAATAAAAAAAAAGGCTACAATACAAATCAAAATGGGATATTCTTTTAATTCTTTAAATATGTACAGGAGACATTTGAAATAACAATTCTTGCTTTATTGAATACTTTCTAATAATATGTTTAAAAGACCATAAAAAATTAACATATCGATAATTCAATGGAGATCATCTAAATATAAGTCAATCAAACTACTAAAAGATGAGTTGTCATTTCCTCACATTCGGTTGTATTATCGGGGACATATAGATAATGGCATCCTTTTTAGAATGGTCATCACGTTTTAACTTTGATCCAAAATATACACAACATTTAAATGAAGTACTTTCAAAATAATATATTTACATATTGAGGTTTGACTATATATATATCATTATACCTTACATATATTTCAAACAGTTCTATTGGGTAAAACGTTATCACGTGACATGGAATAATTCAGTTAATTTTCATTCAATTGCAAGGAAGAACGAATAACCCTAAACATTTACACCAGCGTTGAATAACCTTATTATTCACCGGCGAATAACCTTTTTAGTTTGTTGATTTGTACTCATGAAAATGACGTCACAGACGTAAATAAACAAAATGTCAACGTTCAAGTTACAGGAAGCCCATTGATCGAGAGAAGAGGAAATAAGGCTTTTGACGTGCATCTTGTGCCGATGATATCTCTAATAACGGTCCTTTTAAGGGTCATCAATATTTTACAAAAAGAATCTTCCTTTGTGGTACATACGAGAATTCTAAGACACAAATAACATGTGTTTTTGAACGTCAACTTGTGTGTGTTACTGACTCAAGTAAGGGTAAAAGCAGTGTTTTTACAATGATTCAAAATGCCCTTCCACTGTAAGTTCGGTATAATAAAACAATTGTGGCCCCTTAGAAGCGATGAATATCCAAAATTGTCAACCCTTAAAAGTTATTTCACTTCGGGCTTCGCCCTCAGTGAAATAACCTTCTCGTGTTGACAATTTTGGATATTCACCTTTTCAACGGGCCATAATTGTATAATGTTTCATATATGTGCATGTACATACTGACTGCTCTCTTTTCCCGCTAGCTTTATAAATTTAAACCGACTAGTATATTGCAGTCGTATTAAATACAGTGAATACAAAATGAAAATAATTCACAAAAATAAACTTTCATCAGAGTAACTTTGTTCTCTTAAAGCCAATACTACCGTTCCGTCTCAATTGCATTGTTCGTGACCGTTTTTCCTTAACTTATCCGCGTTAGATGACGCTGATTTAGAAACATGTTTCTCGAATATATAAAATTTGGAATCATGTTTATGTTCCAGTTCTTCATTGTCTTATATACACATACCTAAACTTTAAAATAAATAAAACTTACACTCCACTTTCAATAAGGACACTTTTATCCAAGTTATCAGAAGCAGTCGTGAATGTTTTAAGTGTGTCCGTGTGATTAGGATCTTTGTATAAGGAGATCTTTAAAAGAAGATAGTTTTTAATCTGACTATGTATATGTTAGTTTAAAGCCAAATTCAATTAGTTGATTAAAAACTTTAAAATAGTCACATATACATACTATTATGTTTAATAATGGGGAATCTTACCTGTTATGGATATCATTGTTTGATAGGGCATGATCCTACACCCTAGCGTAGATAACATCTGTCGTGCACTTGTCAAGACAATTCAGAGTTCCTATGGTTAAGGGTGGGGATCTCAACAATAATTTTTGATATATTTAGCAGTTTTAGATATAAGGGTAGACATGATCCAAAGGACAAAACTTTGGTACACAATTTAAAGTCAATTATAAATATATATGGTTTAGATCTAAAGCATTTTAAAGATATTTAAACAATTTATCATATGAGCTGAGTGGTATGGCGCCCCTTCCAATGCCAAACCATTAGGTGAACTGAAAAGGTGTTGGCATTGTAAACAAGGAATTACTTGGATTTGAAGTAAATACAAAAAGGTTCCTTCAATCAATTGTCTAACATCGTTGTCAAAAGGTGAATGCAGATAGTATCTGTCCAAAATTTTCTACTAATATGACCCTAAGCTCAAGATCACATGATGGTTATGATGATAATCGACAAACTGTCTTATGTTAATACACTTTCATTCCAAATATAAAAAGTCAATGTCAAATATGGATAAAATTTTGTCTTGATAAATAAAGGTAAAAGATACCAAATGAACATCAAAACTCTTGAGACAACAAAAACTGACAATGCCATGATAAAAAAAGAAAAGTGATTAAAAGACAAACAACAGTATCAAACACAACATCGAAAACCTAAGACTGAGCAAGATAAAGTTGTGTTAGTTTATATGGATGCACAGACACGAGTTGAATTTGAAGCGGGAAATAGAATTCACATTTTCAAACATTAATTTCAACAATAAGAAAATAAAATTCCGTAGAACATGACTTCACCTCAAGTTTTTGTCGGGTTCGTTTTTCTACATCTCCGCTTCTTTGTTTCGTGTTTTTTTTTTTATGTCATGGCGAGTCTATTTTTATTTTAATAACGGTTTTTGATTGTCCTCTGGGTATCAAATTCATCGCTTCTAAATTTATCATTGACGCATATTCAAATCTTATTAACAACATACCATTTTTAATAGAAATGTTCAGCATGTACCAAAAGATTCCAATGACAGAATTTCGTTCGAAAGATCCAAAGTACAGTAAATAATTAAATTTGAAAACATAAAACCTTACCATTAGATAAAATTTAGGATTACATGAAGACAAACAGCGATACGCATCCTATCACTGGTTTATAGTGGCGTACGGTGAATCAAATTAAGTTTGCGCGCTTATGATAATGTTTTTCTTGCTCTTGGTTCATGCCACTTCAAATAAACTGCATTTATCAAATGGACTGCTAGTCCAATATACGTCAGACAGAATTTAATTCTACAACATCAATAACCAGGTCAAGTGTTAAATTAACCAATATCGAATCGTAAATAATAACGATAAAAATAGTGATAATAATTATTATATTATAACGATTATAAATATTACCATCCTTATAAGTATTTTTTATTGGAAACAAGTAAAAGCAAAAGGAATACGTACCTTTGGTTGCTTTTTTATTTTAATTTTCTGAAAGAAAAATAAATTAATTAAATCATAAATTTGTAAAATACTAATCACTGCTAATAGATAATTAACAAAATTCAGATATATATGTATATTTATTTATTGACAATTCTATTTATTTACTAAATGTACTATATGTTATATTAAATCAATCTCAATAACAATGTCGAATTATATGGTTTATTTCTCTTTTAAATTTTTTTCTCTTTTTTGTAGTACAGAAACATGCCAAATATTTCTGTATTCCTGTATCTGCAGAACCGTATCATACATATTGGTATAATGTTATATTGATATGACCTGTTATGATGACTCCTATTAATTCCACACGTTTCAAATCCTAAATCCAAATTTATAGCAATATATTATAGGTGATCTTTTACCATACAGACATTGCTGAATGCAGCTTTGTCAGATTACAGCACAAAGAATACGTTTTGCAACAACTACAAACTCAAAGTTTTAATATTCAAAATGAAGATAGTGTGTAATGTTCTTTCTGTGTTTCATCTATTATGCAGACTTAATGTCTCGTGATAATGATTATAACTTTAAAAAAACCTTACAATTGGTAGTGCTTTAATCGAAGAAAACCTGTCATTTGGAAATTTTCCATATCCGGGATACCACTTTGCAAAGGTATCATGTTTATGGTATCCTCGCAGGAACAGTGTCTGTTTACCGCCGAAATTACCATCTTCATATGCAACCCATCTATTGAATTAAAGCATAATGTTTTTATTTACGAACGTAAACATTATCTCTACTCTTTTTATAAGTATTCTCGATTTTTGGTTTTTATTTTAACATGTTGACATATTCTCAATTCATAGCTTATGCCTTGTACATATACGACAACTAACAAAAGTAATACGAGTTATAAAAGGATGATAGGAACAAGCGCTGCGTTTAAAATTACTAGAATAGAAGAAGAATATGTAAATATGAGAAATGATTGAAAAAGTTTCTACGCATTCAGATCTTCTAATTACGTTAGGATACTCAGAACAGAACAATATGAAACACCATCTTTGATTTAAACGAGCGATATCTTAAATATAATTTTTTTCTAAGTGAGAACAAGAATATTGGTTTAACGACGAAACGGACTAGCGTTCACAAACATGTTTAACCCCGCCACATTCTTTTTGTGCTTGACCAAAGTCAGGAGCCTGTAGTTCAGTGGTTGTCGTTGGTTCATGTCTGTCATATTTGTTTTTCGTAAATTGATTTGTTATAAATTAGGCCGCTAGTTTTCTCAATAGAATTGTTCCATATATTTTATGTCGGAATCTTTTATAGCAGCCTATACGGTATGGGTTTATCTCATTGTTGAAGGCCGTATGGTTGCCTAGAATTGCTTACACCCACTAAATTTGAACTTTGGTGGATAGTTGTCTCATTGGCAATCATACCACATCTCCTTATTTCTATATAGTACAAGTGCATATATCTGACTGAAACAGCAATTTGTATTTAAATGTGCAGTCCTTTTTTAAGGAAAAGTGATTTCGATTTCTAGTCGAAGGTCTCATGTTATCATGAACAAGTTTCCATGGTACACTCATGAAAAAATGTTTTGTGAAGTTATTTAATATGTACACTTCTTGTGTATCAAAGAAGATCTGATTTGTCTATTTTTAGATTTCTAAGGCAATGCATTCTGATCCGGAAAACAGTCTGTAATAAGCTAGATTAACTGCTCACGCAATGTTTCTGCACAATTACATTAAACGTGAAGAGAATAATACATAGCCCAAACTTTTATCATCTAAAGACTTACAATTACTCTACTTCGTTTGATGTGAACACAACAAACAAAACTGTTATTTCAACCGTTTAAAGGAAATGAATTAGATTGAAATGACGTTCTTTTAGTTGTCTGTCCATAGACCGTTATGATATTTCCTTCTCTTTATGGGCAATTACCATTCAGAACGACAGGGCTGACTCGAATAAACGTGTATCAAAGTTAAAAAAAAAACATATTCCCTGTGTGAGTTAATTTATGCTATATTTTAATATATTTTGATTTCAGTATAATTTATAAATTGCTAACTATATCTTGTCGACATGATACTATGTTTCATAATGTTCAATTAAACTCAGCACATGATACTGTATTGTGGGTTTCAATTTAAAACGTTAATTTGGTGTTTATTATCATTTACGAGGCCGTGGTTATGTGCATAGAGTTTTGTAGTCTATGTTCGTTATCTAATGTAGAACAACTACAATTGACTATGATTATCATCGAACATTACTGATAAACAAGAAAAAAAAATGATTTTATTCTTATCTGATGACTGCTGAATCATTATGGAAACGAAGGAATATGCTATAATGATTCTAGACACTAAATTATTTGATGGAATTCAATCCACAAACTAGTTTTTGGAATGTTTGCCCCTCACCTTAAACTAAAATCTAGATTGATTTTCAGCGGTTTACTAAATTAACAACCCAAAATAGTTTTATGGACTAACGGATATAAATAAAAAAATAATATTCAGAACTAGTTTCTAGTGCAAATATGTTTGAGGAGGATAAAAATGCAAATAAAGCGATGATTATTTGCTTAGATGTTTATATATTTTTGAAATTATTCCATATTTGTTGTTGTTGAAATAGCTTCTTGTAAAATGTCTGTTATCTTTTTATCCAGGAATCAGAATTTGAAACCAGTTCATCTAGGTTATATGTCTTTTTCTTGTAATATCTTGATGTTGTCATAGGTTGCTTTGTTGTTTTACTTTGTATATTGCCCAGCATATATTATTCAATGCATAAATGCAGCGTTTTACTCAATGATTTTATTTTGTCGTCTTGTGATGCATGCATAGCAGGGGCTGCTTTCCTAGTTCCATTTGAAAATCATGCGATTCCCTCAGGTTTGGTTTTACTACTCATCAGTGAAATATAAAAGAATTTACAAGATGTGAATAGCGGTAAACTGTGGTTGCCGTCAAATGAGGTCTAAGTGAAGTTATATCTTTTGACTTGTGCTGAATGCTTTATCGTGAATTTAAAATGAGGAGATTTTTGGTCAGGTATCCGTGGAATTCTGTATCCAAAACGGATACATTACAGTCTCTCTTTGCAGTTGTATATGAACGTTATTTCCTTTAGCAAATGTGATATTCTTTTGATACTACTAGAATTAACTTACGCTCCACTCTGTACTCTTATGGAAGATGCATCATTGTTCAAGTTTCCCAGGTTTGAAGCATCCTGTGTATGAGTAGATGACCTTCCAGTAAAATGATGCTGATAAATCGTACACTTTGGATGCACAGATAAATCCTGAAAGGAATCAAATTGTTCTACTCTATTAAAGTTAACAACAATGTGTTGGGCTTATTTGATCCTGTAAATTCACCGAAATTTCTAATTGAATATTTTTACTACATCTTCATATATCAACTACAACAACCTTTTTTGTTGGCGTCTTTGTTTGATTAATTTTATATTTGTTTGAATTTAGTATGTAGTTGCGGTAAATGTGTGTGATTTATGTTTACACAGTTTTGACTGCTGGATTCCAATTGTTGTCATGTTAATCTATTATGTCTGTTTAGGTTACTCACCCAATGTGTCAACAAAACGGAACTATTTTACTGTCATACAAGTGGGGTGTTTTAGTAGCTTTAAAACCAGGTTTAATCCGCTAGTTTCGTCGGAAATGCCTGTACCAAGTCAGGAACATGACCATTGTTTTAAATTTGTTTCGTTGATTGGTTTGATTTTGTCAGTTCTTATAGAGTTCCCCTTTCTGAATTTACCTTTAATTTTGGTTCTTTTATATACTTTTTTATGATAATAATTATAAATTCAGAGAGCTTCAAAAGAAAGGATTTGTGAGATGTGGCATGATTTTCAATGGAAAAACTGTCTATCCGAGTTCAAAGGACGTATTTGTAAGCAATTATAGGACACCGTGCTAAACCTATTTAATACTCCGGCATTACCAAATGTGGAGTAAATTAAGGAAAAAAACAATAGTCTAATTGATAACAAATATTGCAGACTATTCAAACGACAACCTATAAATTATAGGCTTCTGACTTGGGACAGGCACATAAAGGATGAGGCATGGGTAAAAATGTTTGTGAGATGTCAACCCTCCCACTAACTGGGACCAATGTTGTAATAGCAAATAGTTCTTCAATAAAATCATGAACTTTTTGTTACTTTCTCATATCAAAATGCATACAAAAACTTTGTATTTGATATGCATGGCCATACAACAGTTTTGACTTGAGCGCCACTAATGTCATATGTAACATAAGTCTCCCAAACGGGGTCCAATGGTGTAATAGAACTTGCTTAATAAAAAGACGAAACTAACGCATAGTTAGATATTGATTTAAGAAACTGTATTTTACCCATCTTCAAATATCATCAATCGATTAAGAAGATAAATAAAGGTAACAAATAAAAACTGAGAGAATCGCATGAGCTCCAAAAGCAGCAGGACTTGGTGTGTCAACAGAGTAAAAGTCAACCATGCAATAACAAAAACTTCAAATATGACTCTTTGTCAGTATCCTCCATTTTGAGAATAAAGTCAGTGGGTATATTTCATTTCATCTAATACTGTCAGTGATTGAGGGGAAATTTGCTTCAAAATTTCTGAAAAAATACAAATTTGTGTTACAACATTTTGCTTTATCATGCTTTGTAAATGCTTTTACATGCATATTAAACTTTGGAAGGAACTCTCCGTAAAGACAAAAAATCATTTGATATCCTAATGTGTACTCTTACTAATGAAAGTATATGAAATAAAGGAGATGTGGTATGATTGCTAATGTGACAACTATCCACCAAAGTTCCAATAAAGTGGATGTAAGCAATTATAGGCAACCGTACGGCCTTCAACATAAAACCCATACCTTATAGTCGGCTATTAAAGGCCCCGACATGAAAACAATTCCAAAAAGAAAACTAACAGCCTAATTTATAACAAAACAATTACGAAAAACAAATATGACAGACGTGAACCAAACGAAGTACTGAACTACAGGCTCTTGACTTGAGACAATCTCATATAGATTATGGCGGGGTTAAACATGTTTGTGAGCTTTCAACCCACCCCTTAACCTGGGACAGTGGTGTTACATCATGACATAAGAACAAACTATAAAAACCAGTACAAAACGGCTTAACTCATCAGATCGATACAAAGCAGAAAAAACATCTAACAAAAACCGGACGTGGCAGGGTATTTATACATCCCTAACAACAAAAACGACACAAAGTTCAGATCTGAGAGTACTTGCAGTTACTGACAGCTAGTTCAAAGCCAATAACAACTTGACGAAAAAATCATGTATATAAGACTAAAAGCATGACCTTGTGCAATGCCAAAAAAATAAATAAAGGTATCGACAGGTTGCAGTACCTTTAAAGTGCATAGTTGAATAACAATACTATGTAGTACGATTTTAATTTACTCGTAACAAAATCTATATTTATACCAATAAAACAATATTCACAGATCTAATTACAGTGTTGAATTGGTAACCTTTTACAATAATTTTATTTAAGAGATTGATAAGTTCACCCGGATCGTATCTATATTTCCTGGCTTGGTAAACAACATCAACGTACAATTTAGGATGTGCTATTCCGTTTGAAATGAGTTTTCTACATGTACAGCCAAACTTGCAAACCAAATCTTTGTATTTATGGAAGAATTCAGTAAAATTTTTAATTATACTTACGACTTCTGCATTCTCTAAAGGCTTTAATGAGGATATAGAACATTTGGTCTCCTGTCCTTTATCTATAACTACACAGATATCCCCTTTGTAGTCTTCATTTTTGTACAATATCCATCTATAATGAAACGAATGAGTGCTTTTCAAGAATACAATTATTTAATGATGAATCAATTTATAATCTATGTTATGAAAAATATTTAAACCAATCGATTCATGAAGTTTGTTCTACTCTCAGACAAAAATGGCCTTAGCCAGAAGTTCTGCTTTTTGTTGGTTTACAGTGTACTTAAACTTTGTCATGTTGTTGATTGTTGAGTTGTTCATCTAATTGATTTTGAGCTGCACTGGTTGGTTGAGACTCGCGGGTAGTGATCTTAATTATAAGCCTGGTTTGTTATTGGTTATTGTATATGAAAGACTCCAATACATAGTAATATCGGTTTAAAGTAAACTTCATTAAATTCTTTCAAACAGACTTTGATCTCAACATGCTAGAAATATTCTAAGCAATAATTCTATTTTTTTAAATATAGATTATGTAAACTTTGTCAGAAAATAACACACACACGCATACACACACACATATATATATATATATTTCAATACTGCACAGAATTATATATTTGAAATAAAATTAACACAAAATAAACGCAAATGTTTTTAGTCTTGCACTTTCATCCTTCACGGGACTTGTCAAGACGTTGTTGAGTGTTTTTAAAACGTTGCTTCATCGTATTGACCACTATTTTAATCCATCTCATTCTTCGGGTGTTTCCAGCTTTTTGGAAAAGAGCCCGTTCTTATCTGATCAGTTTTGGTATCAATATCTTTATTAGATACTTTTCCATTTTTTCTCTATATGTATCAGTGTCTTTTTATATATATAGAAAGGGGAAATTTTGAATTTATTTTTTCCGCATCGTTCAATGTGTTTCTTTAACGAATTTTTCCGTGGGCTTGGGTCTTGTATTGGTTGTCTGTGAACCCCGAACCTTTCACAACGGATATTTCCCGTTGTCGAATATAGTTTTCCTTGCATCCTGGACAGGTTATGCAGTATATTAAATTTTAGGACTTCGATGTCATATCGGCGTTAATTGTGAAGGATTTTCGAACATTAAATATCTTTGAAATTCCGGTCTATAGATAATTATAATTACTTCTAACTTTGCAAACTCCTAATTTTTTGTCAGCACCAATATCGACATGAAAATTGACTCGCTCATTTCGAATTTTGCTCACGTTAGTGTTTTTGTCAGAATACTTGCCTGTCGCGGACTATTTAACATTTGGTCTTCTTTTTTTATTGTTCTTACTTTCTAAAATAATCGGTAGGTCTACTAAAACAAAGAAGTAATGTTCCAAGAACTGATACCTATTGAAACTCTACACATCAATATTCTTGCAATATAAGATTGATAACAATGAGAGATAGGGGCATCGGTAGAATAATACAACGTGAATGAGAACAAGGTATGTTCAGACAACGAGCCAAAGGATAATAAATCGATAGTAAGGAATAAGTCTGATCGCACTTCAAAACCAGGGTGGGATTCCGATATTGATACAATTACTGAATTTCCCAGTCAACCCATACACTTGCAAATAAAATCTTACTCGCAGAGAAAAAGACAAGTAAATGCACAAACATACCCCACGAATTAGGACTGATAGCAGTTAAATTCTGGGTTGATGAATACAGATATAAAATCGACAATAGATTCAAAACTGAATTCATTATCGAAGCACTTAGAATAGTACTCGAAGGAAGTTTAATTAATTTCGATGGTGCAACATATAAACCAATAAAAGGTACTACAATGAGCAAAAAGGTCGCACCAATGTATGCAAACCTAGTAAGGGTTTCTTAGAAGAAATACTATATACGAAAAGATGTAAAACAAATTTGATATAACATTCCAAGAATACGTTTTAGACCAATGAAAAAGATAGCTCGATGACTGTCTCATTTTTTGGATAAAGCCACGAGAAAAATTGACCGTACTCAAAGATATTCGAAACTCTCTGCACCCTTCAATCAACTTTAGTATGGAAACCAGTACAGAACGATTTACCTTTTTAGACATTTTGATTAAAATATTAAATGGTCAAATTACTACTTGTTTATTTTATAAGAAAACTGACACACATCAATATCTGAATTTTTACTGGTGTCATACGTCGCATACAAAGCGGAACATTCCCTATTGTTTTGCAAGACGAATTTGCGCCATAGTTGTAGTTGAAGACCTGTGAAAAAAAAGATAAGCAGAACTCAAAGAATATCTTATTCAACAGAGTCACTCAATCAAGATAATCGAAGACGGCATGAAAAAGGCAAAGGAATTAACAATGACCTAGCTCCGTACTACAAAAGAAAAAGAAACGAAGACCTATTTACTACCATTGTTATTACATATTATCTTGGCGTAATCAAAATTTTTAATGCCGCAAAAGTAAAGCTACAGATTCGTGTCGATATTTGTAGCGACAGATGTGGAGTTTGCAAAGATAGGGGTAATCATAATTATCTATAGACCGGAATTCGAATAAATCAATGATCCAAAATCATTCACAAATAACGCCAACATGACATCCAAGTGCGAAAATTTGATTTACTGCATAACCTGTTCAGGATGCACGGAAAACTATACTGAACAAACGGAAAATAGCCTTTGTGAAAGGGTCAGGGTCCATTGAGAACAAATACGAAACCCAAGCACACGGACAATTTTGTTAGACGAACACATTGAACGATGCGGAAATAAAAAATTTAAACTTTTCCTGTTCCATATAATTATGTAAAATAGACACTGCGACATACAGAGAACAAATGGAAAAGTATCTTATAAAAATATTAAATCCAAAACTAAACAAATAAGAACTGTTTCTCTTCAAAAAAGCTGAAAACACCCTAACAATAAGTTAGATTAAATCAGTGCAACAATACGCTGTTGTAATGTTAGAAGTCCTGTGAAGGGTGGAAGGTTGACTTTTTATTTCTTGATTTTATTTTTTTATTTTGTTGTTAATTTTATTTAAGAATTTATATAAACTGAAAATAAAGTTAACATCAAAATATATAAATATTTAATTACAAACAGAAAACAATAAACTTGCGGAAAAGATAGTATACCGCAAACATGAGGTGTAAAAATTTGTACACCATAACCGGATTTCGACAATTAATGTCTCTTCAGTGATGTTAGGAATCGAAACGGTATTTGGAAGGCCATATAATTTACCTCAATTTAGGAGACTCTGGAATTTTGAGAGTCGAAATAGGATGAACGGATCATATAAACCCGAAGGCAAATATAATACAAGCCCAAACGAAAAAAATATAAATAAGTCTTAATTGAAAACAACGTTCAAACTTATGATTGCGTTGGATAAAAACCGCAATTTGTATACGTGTGCATGCAAAACAAATTTCTTGGTAGAGGGGTCTTAATACAGAACAAACAACATTTTCCAAAAGACCAAAAAAGTGAAAAAGTATATTTAAACAAAACGCATTTGACTAACAGGATTTATATATATATATATATTGTTAAGGACTATCATTTACGTTATCGTCCATGATTATCACAAAGTTGTGAAACCGGTTAGAGAAAAAATGCAGTTATTAAAGGACTTTTAGTGCATTTTGAACTTTTTTGTATATATATATTTCTGAGTTAATTCATTGTCTGATGTAAAAATCCCGTAAGCTTTGAGATGCAACATACTTACACTCCACTTTCCACCTTGACACTTGATGCACCATCAGGAAATCCTACATCTACCAATTTTTCACAACCCTCCGATAATACTTTAAAATCGCCTGCAAAGTTAGGTTCTTTATATAAGGTGATCTATAAAAAGAAAAAAACATATATATATATATATTAAATTTGACTATAAAAACGGTAATTTGAGGCAAGTAATCAGTTTTCCAGTAAAAAATCAATGGGTTGCTTCAATTAATAACAAGTATGGAATGTCAAAAGAAAGGTATTTTTCAGTTTGATTTTTTTTTCGAAATATGTTCAATCACTGCGTAGGACGATGAATATTATAGAATTCGAACAGCACGCATTTTAGCAACTACACGTTATTCAACATTTGATATACAGCGGACAATTTTATAAAATAATGAGATAACCATGTGTTTTGGAACACATTGCATTCGAGTTAAATTTGAAAGGAGTAGGTCCGGTAAGGGCCGATGTTGGCCTCAAAATTCAAGTTCATCTGATGAAAGATTTTTTACACTTTTTAAACACTCAAGGGTCTACTTAAGTCGATTGAATCAGTTTATGTGAAAGATTTGAACTGATTTAGTCATTAAAGACGCTCAAATTCAAGCTTAAATATGAAAAATCTATCAAATATGCCATAATATGTCACTTTTCAGATGGTTTTTGTCAAAAATGAAAGTGGCCGCATCCGTGTTCATTATCAACCTTTATATATGTTATGTATTATCATCAAATACAACTTACATTTAAATGTTAAGAATGAACACAAATGCGGCAACTTCCATTTCAGACGGAAACCGTCTAAAAATTAACCAAAATGCTAAAATTTCGAAGATTTCAGTAATTTAGCATGACTTAATGGTGCTAGTACCCGATACATGTGCATTGTATTGTCAAAAACAGCCCATATTCATGTAACAGAAGTATTCTTCTTTCCAATAAATAGCTAAAAATTTACATTTTAACAATTTTGTAAAACTGCTTTATTTTGAGGCCAAAAAGGGTTCTTACTGGGGGTACTCCTTTGATAACGAAATAATTGAAAAATGCGATGTAATCCTGTGTTCAAATTAAAAACAAATAGATATATGCTTTTCATATTTTTTTGTAATTTGAGAAAAATCCAAAACCTTATCTTATTTTTAATAGATTATCTTTATGACAAAAGGATGGAATGGTAAAGTTATTGATAATTACAATTGGAAATAACATAAATTTGAATAGAAGCGGACAAAATTGGACAAGCCGAATTTGCTGTTAATTGAAAAAGTAGTTGTAGAACTTGAATACGTGCTGATAGTCAATATTAATAAATCATTTCTATAAATTTCTCTTATGCTTTACCTAAATGAAGCCATGGTTTCCTGTTTATAATGATTATTTAATAAATCCCCCGTTCTTATTACATAATAAAAGAAATGAGATAAAGTAGTTATCAATCTAGGATACAGCACATTTTTCGAAATTTTAAAGACAAAAATAAGTCAAATTGTTTGTTTGATTAGTTTTTGTTTCGTTGTTATAGCTTTTTGATGTTTTATTTATTATATTGCCTGACTCGCAGTAAATACATAAATATATTAGTTGTGATGTGAAAACTCATCATAGATAGAAGTATTAGAATTATGTACGCAAGACCCGAGTTTCGTCTACGAAAGACTCCTCATTGACACTCGAAAAAAAATAACAAAATGGCTGAATAAAGAACAAAGTTGAAGAGCATTGAGGACCCACAATTCCGAAAAGTTTTTCCAACTACAGCTAAGGTTTTATAAACAGTTAGTTTATAATTATGACCATATCAATGATAATTCATGTCAACACAGAAGTGTTGACTATATACTTATGTACAAACCGTATTCACCTTTCCTGTATTTATTGCAATTGTTTTCTTATAAGTATCACTAGTGTGAAGTAACATTATTGATTATGATTGTTCATGAAAATGAAGAAACAAAACAATAATAAAAAAAGAATTCAGTTAATGAAAAAAAAAAGAAAAAATGCTTACCTTTGGTTCCATTGTCATTTATCTACCTGATTGGATTTCTGAAACAGAATGGTTTTAATGTAATGAAAGTATAGACTAAAAGTAAATCTAGAAAAGCACTTGAAATCTTTTAAGTATTGTTTCATTTTTCTTTTTAGACTTTTTTGATAAATTTAAAAAAAAAAAAAAATTTAAATACTAATCAATTTATTTTTTCTCTTGAACTGTTTGTACCTACCTTGTATCTTATTTTAGGAATCTGGATATGGCACTGCTGAAAAATCTGGTATATTCTTCTTGTTCCACCGTTATTTATATATTGTAGAGGAGAAACCCGATACATATCATTGAATCAGAACAATTGTAATGCATCCGTGAGTATCATGATGTAATCGTATGACGCTATATTATTTCTTGGGTTTTGTCTGGCTTTACATTCCAGATAAAAAAGAAATAAGAAACATTATATAAGGAAAAATCACCATTATCATGAAGAAATATTTCAATGCAGATCTGTCAGAAACGTAATAATTAGGAACAATTCTTTTTCAAAAACTGAAATTTACGATCAAATTATTTTAAGTAATTTTTCTCTAGCTTGCATATCTATTTCCCGTACTTGATAATTGCATTCACGGTAAGAAATATAATCATCGGAGGAAGTTAATCCCTTGCGGTGTAACATATAAGTCCTTGCTTTTAAAAGCATGACACCGTGTAAAGAAACTGTTTTTTCAATTATCTATTCGTTTGTTTCAATTGAAATGACCATCAATCAATTTGAGTTAAAAATACAATAAATATACAAAAAGTATGCGAAATCAATATTTCTGTAAAATGCCTACCTTGTCAGTCGGGAGATCTTTTTCTTATTTTTTATTTTTACTTTTTGAAAGTTGAATTAAGATAAGGTCTATCTTAGGGGCTGATTATAAATATGATAACACAAAATATGAACATTGTGACTAAAAACAAACCAAACTTTACAGATTTTAAATACAAGTTCATATCTTGTATTCTATTACAGCTACAGCAATCACTATTGAAAATTGAGAATATCTTCCATCACTGTTATACAGAAATATGGTGGTTTTGGTTTTCTCCATTTCGGGCAAGGTATTGCATGTCAATTTGTTTATTGTAGTAGTGCCGATTATACGTCCAACATATAATTATTGTTAACAAAACTGTCAATTCAGAGTGTTTTCTAGTTCATTGCTGTTTTACCTTATTTTCATTTCATTTTCATTTCATTTTCATTTCATTTTCATTTCATTTTCATTTCATTTTCATTTCATTTTCATTTCATTTTCATTTCATTTTCATTTCATTTTCATTTCATTTTCATTTCATTTTCATTTTCATTTTCATTTTCATTTCATTTTCATTTTATTTTCATTTTATTTTCATTTTATATTCTTTTCATTTTCATTTTCATTTTCATTTCAATTTCATTATTTGAAAATAACTCTTTGTATTATCTAAATAATTTTAATTAATGCAATTAACTATGCTGACTTTTGTTAGAATATGATTTCTATAAAAGAGGGACGAAAGATACCAGAGGTAGAACGATATATTTCTGGTTGTAACAACGTAATGCTATCCTTATTTCAGAGGCTCTGGTTTCCGTGATTTTATTTCTGTATTCTTTAATTATTATGCCGTTTTTCAACCCATTATTTTCATTTCTTTATATTTTAGCGCATTATTTTGCTTTATTTTTATACTTATGAGCATTTTATCTATATTCATTAATGTTTTACCCATTGTTTTATATTATGTGAACACCATCCATACCCTCCTGTTTAACCCCTGATTAGCTAGTTTCCTTATATTGTCATAGATGATATATAGCAAGTACAAATATAGAACTATATGATTTCAACAACAGCAAAATTGTCATATCTATAAATGAACTACTGTTGATATTCGTATATCTCATTTTTAAAACAATTCTGAAATTAATAATATGGTTCATGATATACCTATTTCTAGAATAAAAAATAAACTCAAAGTACCCGCAAAGCTCTTTGTGTTCGTACCGGCAGACAAAGCAGCAAATAATGTAGTGGTGGTGTGACGCAGTTACTAAACGGAAGTTCTCCAAAACGAAATTATCAATTCTTCTACATTCAGGTCAGTACGCTCCACAGAGAGTCAAATTGTAAACAAGCATATCACTGCTACTTCCCAGCATAAAGCGTCTTCCGAACATTTGAAATCCCAACTATGTACTGGTTACCTAGATTACACAAACAACCATTTAGATTTCGTTTCATCTCCGCATCTAGTAAGTGTTCTACTTCTAATCTGTCAGTGCTTCTTACAACCTTCCTAAATATTATCAAAGAACTTGTTATTAACTTTTGTAATAAAGTTTATGAAAATAATGGTATTAATTATTTGTGGAGTGTTAAAAATTCTTAAGAGGTTTTAGATAAAATACGTGCTTTTGATGGTCTGTTTAATTCTGTTGACAGTTATGATTTTTCTACTCTCTACACTTCCACACAATCTTATCAAAAAAGAGGTTTCATATTTAATTAAAAAAAATCTCATTGCAAATTAATTTGCTGTAACTCGTTTAAAGCCTTTTCTGTAAGGAAAAAGGAAAGATAGATACACTTACTGGAAATCTGAAGATATGATTGAAGCTTTAAATTTTCTCCTGGACAACATATATGTACGTTTCGGCGATAAAGTGTTTCGACAGGTAGTAGGTATTCCTATGGGCACTAATTGCGCCCCTTTGATAGCAGATTTATTCCTATATTTTTCTGAATCACAGTTTATGTCCGAAATCAGTAAAGACAAATCATTGTTACATTTAGTTGACTCATTCAACAATACCTACCGTTATCTTGATGATATTTTTTCATTAAATAATCCAGAATTCTCTAAATATACTACCGAAATTTACCCAAAGGAACTTACTTTATATAATTCTAACATAAACAGCAGAAGTTGTCATTTTTTAGATTTAGACATTGCAATTTCTAAAGGGAAACTCCATACAAAAATTTAAGACAAAAGAGACGATTTTTCATTCCCTATTGTTAATTTTCCTTTTTTAAGACGGCAATGTTCCTTTGGCTCCATCATACGGTGTTTATACATCCCAACTCGTTCGTTATACCCGTGTGTGTAGTGATGTTATAGATTTTAACGAACGTAATCAATGTATCACTGATAAATTATTAAGTCAGGGATTTTGTTACCATAAATTACTTAAAACATTTACTAAGTTCTTTCATAGATACAAAGATTTGATTAGTAAATTTGGCTGTTCCTGTAGAAAACTTATTAAAAATGGTATTTCACATCCTAAATTTTACGGTATATAAAAGCGCGGAAATTACTATGTGATCCGTGTAGTTTCGAACAGCGGTATACTACTGTTGCCTTTAGTAATCTCATCGAACCTGTAAACAAACTTATTAGTAAAGGTTATCTTATTAATGTTGTAAAAAGATCTTTGAATGTTGTTTTCATTGGCACTAACATCGATTTTGTCATCAACAAATTTAAACATAACTAAAATTGTATTCTTTTCGAATGTTTTTTTGGGATGTAAATATACACATCCAGGTTTATTTTCTATTTAGAAATTGTTTTATCTATACATAACATCATACATATTTATTATAAGGTTAAATCCTAACTATTCTTCTGCCTGTCGTTACTTTTATTTTGGCATTGCACAAGTCATGTCTTCTTTGACTGTCCTTGGCGTTAAAACACAAAATTCTTGTCTGCCTGGGGTGTGTTTTAATTGATTTTAGTCTCTGATGCATGGTTTTATTATTAATTGTTTTTGGCTTTTAACTAGCTTTCAGTAACTGCGAGTACTCTGAAATCGTACTTTCGTGTTAATTTGACCTGTTGACATAATTTTTGATTCTATTCTGTTATTAAATGTTTACTTATTTTGTGTTATATCTCATCTTACTATTTTCAGTATGTACCACCTTTGATAATTATCTAGTATGACAAACAAAATTTCACTTCTGTACTCGTACTTATTTTTATTTTGTAAAAAATATTTCTGTACTCCTAAAAACAAAGTTATTATATTTAAATACGTTACTTTATTTAACGCCATTTTGTTTTAGGTTAAAGTTGTCTTTTTGACATTGAAACATCTTTTGTGATTTATATAGTGTCATAGATCAAACTTATTCGTTCAGTGTATATTTACTAGTTTTTGTGTATTGTCTTTTTGGTCGAGTTAAGCCATTTCAATTGATATTTTATTGTGTGTCTTTTAATGCTGTAATGTTATACCACTGTTTCAGGTTAGGTTGAAGGTTGGAGCCTGTTAAAACGTTTAAACTGGCTGCATTTTATTCACCTGTCCTAAGTCAGGAGCCTGTTTTTCAGTGGTTTTCGTTTGTTGTTGTTGTTCATAAGTGTTTCTCGTTTCTCGTTTTTTATATAGATTAGACCGTTGGTTTTCCTGTTTGAATTGTTTTACAGTAGTCTTTTTGGGACCCTTTATAGCTTGCTATTCGGTGTGAGCTAAGGCGCCGTGTTGAAGGCTGTACTTTGACCTATAAATGTTTAATTTTTACACATTATGACTTGGATGGATAGTTGTCTCATTTGCACTCATACCACATCTTCTTACTTATGTTTACAAAATTTTATGTTGCTCAAAAAGCTTATGACCCCAGATATAGATTACGCTAGCTGTTAATGGCAAACATATTTGGAATTTTCTATCCTAAATGCTCTACAACTTTGTTCTTCATTTTGGCCATTTTAAATTTTTTTATCGAGCGTCTGTTTTGTAGATGGCGTTTTCTCGCGTCTGGCACACATATTTATAGGCCTGGTATCTATGACAATCACAAAGTTTAATACTTTGTTTGTTTTTCCGTAAAACGAAAATCACTCTCAACCAAACAAAAATGAATTAATGAAAACGAAAACACGTTAACTTTGAATACATTATTATACCCCTCTGCCTTATCATATACCCTTAAATTTGCCAATTGTCAAGTTTCTATGTAATGCTTTGTTGATTGTTGTTTGTCTCTCTATCTTTTTTTTCTGTAGGTTCATTTAGGTATCAAAATTCGTATTAGCTGTTCGCTTTACAAATTAAGAAAAGACCTTGGAAGATGTATTTCAAATGTATTCGACCTTGATCAGATTCAAAAAATTCTATAAAATCATACAACCAGTATTATTTAACCGAAACTGATATCAGTTATCGAATAACCGGGACATTTTCTTATTCATCTTCATTTTATTTCGTCTGTAGTTTTTTAAAAGATTTAAAACGTTTATTTTCCTTAT